CTTTCCTAAACACTGCAAGGTGAATTGACTTCTCCATAATTGGCGGTTTTCCTGATTGTCTCATGTCATTAGTTTATTCACTCATTGGTGTTCATTCCTTCATACACTCGCCATTTACTGAGAGCCTCATCTTTGCCAGGCTCTGCTGCACTTCAGGGTTACAAAGTCCTGGCCCTCAAGGCACTTCTTCTCGGGAGAGAGATGTGTGCTCAGACAACTGAAGCTTGATCTGAGCAGTGCTTGACGATGCTATTAGGGATAGAGGAAGGCCACTTAATCCCGCCTATGGGTGGGAAAGTCAGGGCAGGTTTCGTGAAAGAAATGACTCATGGGACAAGTCATAAAGAAAGGGATAAGAGTTAGCTAGGCTAAGAGGAGAAGGTCTGTTTTCGGCATCCGGCTTTCTCAATATTCTTCTCCACTCATTTTCCTGACAGCCACAGAATGGAGAAAACTGAGACCAGAGATACAAAGCCACCCCACTCTGGCCTCACACTGTCTTCCTCCCTAGTCCTTCTCTCATCCTACTTTCCAACCCTTAGGTTTTGATGAATCTCCTCTCTCTATGTTTATTTGCTTGTTGGTTAGTTATTCATTCAAAAAACATTTTTGAGCACCTACTATGTGCACAGCACTGTGACTATAGGGCGTCCTGGTCCTTGCCATCATGAGAGGACATACCCTCTCCATACCACAGCCTCTAGAGAATTTTAACTTTCTGTCCTTTTCCAAAATTTCGCTCTGGCCTGACTCCACTGTGAAACACTTGCAGATAAACCTTATCTTGTTCAAATCCTTCCGTGAACTGTCTTCTTCTGGCTTCCTCATCCCTCCTGCTTTACAGATTTACATCTTCATCTCCCTTATCAGCCTTGGAAGTTCTTTGAGGGCAAGGTCTGTGTCCTTACCTTTTCTCTGTGGTACATTGTGGTTCATTGTGGTACATTGGTAAAGTTGAATGAAAAAAACCTTTTTCAAAATTACAAAATTGTTATCGTTTATTGAGTACCTACCATGAGCCACTCACTCATTATTCATGCTTTACATATGAATAGCTCTTATTCCCATAACTTTGAAAGATAGATAGCTGTCATCCTTACCTCTTAGGGAAGAAAACTTGGGCTCAGGAAAACAAAATGGAATTCTTAAAGCCATACAGTTAATAAATAGCAGAGTCCAGCGTCAAGTTTAGGTTTTTGTAGTTCCACACCCCTGATCTTTCTGCCATACCATTGTTTCTCAAACTTGGCTGAAATCACCTGGGGAGTTATAAATTTTTGATGCCTGGGTCTTAGCCCCAGTTCTGATTAGTTGTCGGGGGCTGTGGCCTGGGCATTGGGATTTTTTTACAGCTCCCTCATGGGACTAATGGGAGCCAAGTTTGAGAAACCATGTACCGTACCACATTGCCTCCCTGTGTCCACACTGGCTGCAGCTGCCATTGGTGGTGTGGTATCCATGTGACCAGAATGCATATTTTTTATAGCCAGGGATCTTGGGCCTCCTTGCTGCTTCCCCACCCAGTGACCTCACCACCCCTTGCACATCCACTGCCAAGGGTTGTTGACTGTTTAATCAGCCTCTTGGTTCTTATGTCTTATCCAGGGGATTCTCTGATAGGTGGTTGGAATTTGATCACATCCAGCTGTTCTCATCCTCAGAGCCTGTTGATCCAACAGAAGAGTCGTAAAAACACACTGAGCACACTTGCTGCTCTGGAGAGTGTTGTCCATGACCTAGACCCGTTACAAGTGCAGCCAGGGTCAGCCTCCCACACTAGCAGCCCTGCTCGGGAGGGAGGAGGCTGTTCTGAAGTTCTCTATCATAGTATCTGCCTGCTGCTCTGGCTTTTCATATTCAGGAGGAATTTGTGAGAGTCAGTTCATGTTCTGTCCAGGGCTCAGAGAGGTCTGACCCTCGGTATGGTGCTTTTCCCTTTGTTCCACAATGCTCAGTGTCTGGCTTTTCATGCCAAGCCCCAGTTGAAGCCACCAGCTTTCCTACATTCCTTCTTGTTTACCTCTGCCATAGGGCTACTGGGACACTGCAGATGTTGCTGTTTCCCTGGGACTATAGTACTAGTGACTAGGGATCCTGCTTACTCCTAGAGTGCAGCTGGTGGATCATTCTGACACCCCTAGGCCCTCCTCAGACCTGCTCAGCTGAAAGGAAGCCTCCTGTGATGCTGCTCAGATACTTCTGGAATCTTCTCAGTCCTAATCCCATCTCCTAATATTTATTATCCAGCTATCATTCACTAACCAGTAATTCTTTGCCAGGCCTTGGCGTATGCACTGCAATACAGAGATAAAACATATTCTGTGTCCCAGAGGCATGTAGTCTAGGAGAGATAGTATGCAAATAAAAGAATGTTCCTAAAAGTATGATGCCCAGACCCCATGCATTAGAAGTACAAAGGCTGCATATTAAAATATAGATTCTTAGGCCCCATTCTAGACCCGCTATTTCAGTATATCTGGGGATTGGGCCCAAGCAGCTGCATTTTGGCATGCTTCCTCAGTGACTCTTAGGTGCTCTGAGGTTTGACAATTACGGAAGTAAACTTGATGGTAACAGTATAACGTCATGTGTGGTGGGAAGCACCAGGCAGATGGCCACCTGCAGGAGCACCTGTTCCGAGGAGGACACTAGTTGGGCAAGGAACAGCTTCTTGAAGGTGTCGTGAGGAATAACTAGTTGTGAACTGTGCTTAATTTACCCTTTCTGTAGCTCTGTGTTACTCACATTTCCTTAGGCAGAGCATGCTTGGACCAGGCAGCGCTGATGGGGGTCTGATTGGGCTGTTGGTTGCTCCTTCTACTATGTCTCTGTACAGAAATAAGACTTAGATCCCAGGTTTAACTCCTGTCCTCTTTAAGCCTCATACTATAGCCCCGATTTCAGATCTAACCTCTTGCTCTCTTCGGTTAAATGATTTGGTTTTTTGAGATTTGCCCCCTAGAGGTTGGTTAGTGCCTGGATCTGTGGGCTGCAGTCTACAGATGATGACTGCCTGGCCATGTGGTTATGATTGGCTGGTTTTCTCTTTATTGGAAGAAGTTGGGTTATTAAGAGGGTGCCGCAGAAGGAGAAGTAGAGAGTTAAATGAAATAAGTTAAGGGAAATGAGGGGCCACTACCAGGCATCTGGTCAGAAACCTCTCATTTTAGAGATGAAGAATTTGGGATTCAGAAAGATTATGAAATAGCCACGTGACACCACAGGCACAGCCTCCAACTCTGGGGACTGAAATTCTAGGTTTCTGGCCAGTGCTGCTTCTACATCACTACACTGGATTGGAGCCTTTTTAAAATGTATCTGTAGGACTTATTATTTAAATGGATTCTGTATGAAACCCTGCAGCAATCTAATCATTGGTAGGATTGATTTTGTAAAACCATACGCTTATGTGTTTTCTTAAAGTGCAGCAGACCTAGGTTTTGGAGCTCCATGTCATGTGTTCCATGTTTGGAATTAAAATAAGACCGTGTCTGCGGAAGCACTTTGATAGGTGTAATGCTGTACACCAGTGGTTCTCAAAATTTGGGCCCCAGACCAGCAGCATCAGCGTCAGCTGGAAGCTTGTTAGAAATGCAGATTCTCTGGCCTCATCCCAGGCCCCCTGAATTGGAAAACTCTGGTGATGGAAGCCAGCAATCTTTTTAAACAGAACCTGCAAGGTGATTCTGATGTCCACTCAAGTTTGAGAACCACTGCTCTTCATTGAGGGGAAATCAGCCCTGGGGCTTGTTGAGAATAAGATTTTTGTTCTCAATTTTTCTCTGTCTGAGATAGCAGCGGAGACAGGAGCAGTGGGGTTAGTGTCACAAATCTCAGGTGGGATGGGTGAGATCATTTGAAAGGTTTGGCTTTTGCCTTGTAAAGCAAGGCAAGGCTGTGTGTGTGTGTGTACAGCACTGTCACACTGTTTGAGTCTAAGAGCACATGCTGTGTGGCTCTGTACGTCTTTAGAAAGCAATCTTTTCATGTCTCCTGAGAAGGCGAAGCTCCTTGAGCCTCGTTTCTCTGTGTGCTTAAGCCAGAATCCTGTGGTTACCAGTCAGTTTAAAACGAGGCAATCAATATTATATTTTTCTCCACTTGCCCCATTGTGCTGATTTTTTTTTTTGGAGTTACTTATTAAATGAAAATAAAACACTATTTCTCAGCAGGCTTGACACTTCAGGATTTCCTGGTGGACAATGAAACCTTCTCTGGATTCCTGAATCACAACCTCTCTCTGCCAGGGCCTACTGTGGACAAAGTGCTGGGGGCTGGTGTCAGTCTCCGCAAGGTAAGCTGTGACCTTCGGCTCCCTTGGTGGGGCTGGTGGCAATCCACTGTTTGAGAATGCATGGAAAAAAATATAAACCCCTGGCTTTGTAATGGTGTGGAAGGAGGGCATTAGCTCAAATTCAGCATCACCTATTTTTATTTCCCTGCTCAAACTGGCATTGCCAAACCATTCAGAGATGGAATATGCCACCTGGAGTCATGGGCCAGCTGATTGAAATAAAACTGATTTCCTGCCTGTCAACTGACATGTGTTGATAACTTCCTCCTAAAAGATGGATGCATTTAAGTTAAGATGGGTTAAACATTTTCTTTAAAATTTCACAGTAACCAGGGTTGAGGATTATTGAACTGGAGCAGCTCTGTCAGCAGATTATGAAAACTTAATGCTTCCTTTAAAGACAGACAAGAAAGGTATATAAGGAGAATTTTTTTTTTCTTAATTTATAAAACCAGGAAGTGCTATTAGTGTTTATATGGAATTTTAACCTTATATCCCTGGAAAACTTCCTCTGCCATCATTAGATATTATAGCTCCTATGCAGTGGGTAGCAGACCCAGCTTGCATGGTTATTGATTTCCAGAGAAGCTTCTCAGTTTATTCTCTGGCAGAAAGAGAAGTTGCTTCCTTAACCTGTCTCATGTCTACATACTAGCTTGTCTTTACAATAAGCAGAAGCAGTGGAAATGTTTATGCCTGAAAATAAGACCTTTACCGTACATGATCTAGAACTTTTAAAATTAGAAAAATGTGCTTACTGCTTGCCCTTATGAAACTAGGAAAATATGCCTTGTGTTTACCAATTGTGTGGTTGGGAGATGGGCCAGAGGCAGCAGGCATATGAAAATAGTTGCATTTAGCATGATTTCCATTGCCCCTGCCAATTTCATATGTGTCACTTTCAATCAGTTAACAATAAGAGGCATCCTAAGTACGGAGGTGGTCCTTGAGTGGTAATTAGTCTCTGTGTCAGTGCTCTAAAGGTGAGCTGAGCCTAGAAGCAAGGACTAGTTAGAGAAAGGAGACCAACTGAAGTGTGCTTGAGTATCTGGCAGTAGGTGAAAACTTAATGGAAACCATGGCAGGCCAAATGCTCTGCAGTGTTAGAAAAATGGGTCTTTGAGGTTTTTGGTCCATCGCTTACAGTAGGTTGTACTATAAGCAGGTCAAGCAGCACTAATTTAAACTAACAGGGAGGTAGTAATGGAGTAATAAAGAGTCTGCATATCCATTCAGTGATTCCACAAATATTATTAACTGCAGTGTTGCAGCACTGTGGACACAAGTGAGCAGGAAAAGCAAAGTCCTTCATCTTATCGAACTTGCTGTCTAATGGATAGTGAGGACCATACATGAAGAAGCTCAATTTATTTAGGCCCCAAAAGCTAATTAAGTAAACAAAATATGGCCACAGTGAAGCTCTCTAGGAGGTCTACTATAATGAATAGATAAGAATGAGTTAGAATTGGCCTGTCAATGAAATGAGATGAGAAGTTTGGCTTTCTGGTACTCTACTCTGCGGCGAGTAAAAGGCAAGATATAAATTCTGAAATTGCTTGAAAGTAGTTCTTTGCCTCAGTTAAACATCTCTACCTACAAATAAATAGTATAATGCTTTTAAACCGTAATTCAGCCCAACTCCAGTTTAAGATATTATAAGTTCCAAAGTAATGAGAATGTTTTTCTCTAATAAAAGTGGTTTCAGGAGTTCAGGCTCCAGATTCCTAGTTACTGAATCATGTGTCCCGCTTTTGAGAAAAAGAGTTGGACTCGGGATTTCTCTTCCCAAGGACAAGAGAGTGGGAGATGATGAGTCAAACACAACATTTAGGTTTTAAATTTCCTGTCAGACCGCGCCTTGATGCATTCCGAAGTTCATCAAAGAGACCCGATGCTTCGGGTTATTGAGGTTATGTCCATTCTTTAAAGTTGTATTGATGTGAAGTCCCCCCAAAGGATTCAAGGACCCAACTTCTCATCCTTATAATCCAGTTTTGTTTGTCTCTCTGTACAAAATGCTTCCAGATATTTTTGCAAGGCTACCAGTTACATTTGACGAATCTGTGCAGTGGTGGATCCAAAGTAGAAAAGATGATTCAACTTGGTGACCAAGAAGTTTCTAAGCTTTGCAGCCTGCCACGAGAAAAACTGGATGCAGCTGAGCAAGTACTTCGCTCCAACTTGGACATCCTGAAGCCAGTCCTGGTGAGTAGGTGTGCCGTGTGGAGAAGCTTCAAGTACTAACGCCTTTGGAATGTGAATTTTTTTCTTGGACAATGTGACTTTGTTTTTGTAGAAACATAGAGCTGGCTGGGAGTTTGAGATACAGTTTAGCTTAATGGTATTCTAACTATTTTTTCAAACTTTTGGGTTATCTGCCAAAGAGTGAAAAGAAGAAGAATGAGTTGCATGTGGTTCTGAGTCTAAGCCTAAAGTTCATTGTGCCTATTTAATCAAAGATACCTGTTTTTTTAATATTATAATTTGAGATTATAAGAGTTCATTTGAAGAAAGAGTTCTCCAGAGTGAAAAAAAGTTCTCAAAACCATTGATGGGAACATAGATACCTGTTCATTTGTAAAAGCCCATCAGAAAGGAGACACAGTGAACTGTCACAGTGACAAAACCTTAGAATCGGATGGAAGCACGCTCAGGAATTAGCTTAATCATTGATAAAATTGCATTTACAGAGAAAAAATTGCCAGCAAAGTTTGATCAGTCTAGGAATCAATAGTACAGAGAAGCAGTCCGTGAGAATACATGTTCATTCTTATTCAAAGAATGGGAATGAACCTGGACATTTTGGTCATTAGAGAGTTGTGTATAGTTCCAGAACAGGTGTATTTTTTGGCGGGGGAAAGGTGTTTCTGAGAGCTCTGGTGAAATGCCCCTCCAATAACATCAATTAGCAACCTGTGTTCTAGTTTTCTACTCACCATATAGCACTCTGATTTGTCATTAAGTTCTCTCGAACCAGGGAAAG